CATTCGAGACAACAAACAAAACACAAGGTGATCTAATGAAAAAAAATGAGCAACCTGTGTGAAGTGAAAGGCAATAGCAACACAACAAAGTTTTTAAAAAGATTAAAGAAGACATTTAAAGGAAATGCTAATGGTTGAGAATGATTTTTGCATTCCATTCCTTATAACGCGCGATAAAATGTATAGCCTTTAATTTCGTGGTCAGAAGTTAGGAAATAATTTATTTAAATGTGTTATTCAGCTATAAATGCAAACTAATGAGATATTCTTATAGAATCAACAGATTAAGAGAAGGCTGTATTTGGTTGATAGAAGTTTAATGGCAGATGAGAGACAGAACAGCTACCAAAGGTTAATCAATTATTATAAGAATTTGTTCTAAGGTTCATTATAAAGTTGATAGGATTTTAAGGAATAGAGTCACGTAGTAAAGATTGAAAATCAGGATAAAAATGGATGTTCAAGCAGTTCAAATAGAAACGAGACGGTTCAAAAAATATGTTTAATAGTGTTGACAACTTGACACTGTGAACTATTGACGGCATATTCAACTCTCAGAAAATACATGTGGGTGTAACAAAACTGATCGATATGCAGAATTTGAGTTTTGCTGCGGGCTGATATTATATTACACTTTTTAAGGTAAAGGAAAACTTCGTATAATTTGTTATCAATTTGTGCATTTTCATATTGTTTTCAAGCATGTGGTGTCGAAATTTGACTCATTAGTAAAAGTCAAAAGTGCGAGATTTTTACTTACATGTTAACTGTTTTTGCACCAATATGTGCATATACATTCCCGTGTATACCAACATATGATGGTATCCAACAAAAAAAATAAATATTAAAACCCTGTACCACATAATCATGAGATTGATTTTCCAACATTTAGAATCAGATGTGTTTTATTTTTCAATGTATGAGGAACAACTGGACACCTGCAAGCAATGTCATCATATTTAAATCGTATCATTTGTCAATTCAGAAGCGAATCAGGTTCAACACGCACGTTTGTCGTCGTTTACAGGTATCAAATTAAATCTGATTTAAATCACACAATCACTTCTCTTCTTCTCAAGTTACAAGTACGCAATTGACATAAAATTACACGAGTCGGTAGGTGAGGGTTGGAGCATCAAAAGGATTGCCATGATTTACTTGCACACTGATTTAAAAATCAGGTTCATTTCTCCAGTTTAGTAATTTTTAATTCGCAAAATGAATAAAACTTATACATAGATTAAAAAAAATTACTTATCATAAAGTTTATAGGCATTATATAAATATTAATTTTTAATGCCATCAAATTGCTACTTATTTATCATAGAAATCAGTTTATCACTTAATTTAAAAAAATTACATCTGAGTCTTAGGCATTGCTATATTTAAAAAAAAGTTCCCTTTGCAAAAAAAAAAACTTTCCTATCGTATTTTCTACGTAATTAATTTCAATCAATTCTATTCTTCTCAAATTCTTTTTAATGCCTAAATAAAATCACATTAAAGATTGATTAAAAAAATAAAACTTGTCCAAAAAGAACCTTAATTAGACAATAATTTCCTTTTATATTTTTTCTAATTATTCTCTTGAATATAGCTGATAAAAAATTATTCTCTGAATAGAATTAACGTTTATTGAAATAAATATGAATTTTTTTTAAAAAAAGCAATACAAATTTTAAAAAAGAAAAAAATGATTCCTTGAGGAATAATCAAACCTTACTTTGTTCTTCTTAACTATTTTTACAAAGTATTTTCAAGTGAGTATTTTGCATTTTTTTCTCTTTAATATTTTTTTGTAAAATTATTTCAAATAAAAGCTTGAAATTTGAGTAAAATGTGGCAAATTTAACAAGATCTATCTTTCTGAATAACTTATGACCAGGAACTACGATTCTTTAGTTGTACATTTAATTTAATTGAGCTTGGTATTATATGAATTTATTAAGAAATATCTATATCTATTGAATTTTAATAAATTGGAACTTTTATTAAAGATAACGGCTTCAGGTAGGCGAATTTATAGTTTTTACCTCATTCTCTAAATAAAGTTATACTTTAAAGTACATTGTTACCTTTAATATATATAAAAAAGTCAATATACAGTTTTTGGCCAAACTATTAGACGCACTTAAAATCTGAATTATCAGGTTATACTATACAGCTTTAGTGTTTTTACGAGACTGAAACCGGTTTGTACCTTATTACGTTCGTGTATCAAATGATGAAATTAGACGATATATAATATAAATTCAACGATTATATAAATTAGACGATATATTATATAAATACAGAATATTTAATATATTAGTATATTATAATAATTAGTCCAAATTATTAGATGCACTGTAGTGTTTTAATAATTGCATGTTTTGCAGAGTTTATATGCAATATTTTTATAATTAAGCATACGTGTAATGGGTTTTTATAGAAGAGATTTCTTATATACTTCCTATTTGCATTCATTTTTAACGTATTGCATAACAATGCTAACCAATTGATACACGAACATATACAAGCGTTATCCGGTTTCTGACTGTATCTACAACCACAAGAAAAATTATTTATATTAATAAGAAGACTACTTATCAAAATCTGAAGAATAATTGGCAAATTTACTCAATCGATATGTCAAATTAGAGTCTCTAAAGCCATTTATTGTGCCAAAAATAATTTCTCGACAATTTCCTTTAGTTAAGATGAGTATGAAGAACCGAATAATCTGATTCATAGTTCATTTTGTAAAATCATGAATACATTTTGCAAAAAATAATTCTCTGAATATAGAAAAAGTTTTGAGAACACCTTATATAAATAATTCAGTTGAACAAATTGTCTAGAAAATTTCAAAATTCATCTTTCAAAAATCTATGATATTATTTTTACTGATTTTCTGATGATTATTGTTGATTGATTACTAATGATTGTTGCCTACCAATATATATGCCAATCATCATATACAAAACTAAAAATGTTCTGAAACTAATAACGTTATTATAGATTCATAACGTTTAAAATAATTTAATTTTGTCTACTGTTTTGATGCGAAATTCATAGCAAAAATCTTAAAATTATTTGAAGCAAAACAAAACTGAACCTTTTTTTTAATAAAATGAGTAAATATTTTAATTAAAAAAAGTTTGCAAATTTGAAGCAAATTTGCAAGCAAATTTGAAGTGTTTCAAGTTTTTAAACTAATTTTTTAAATTAAAAATTATCAAACCTTGAAAATTCATGAGAAAAATACTGAGCATTAACAAATTTAACTATACGAATGAACTAGACATTATGAATCTCAATTACTATCAAAAAACTAATAATTTCCTGTCTAAATTATTTTACCTAAGTGAGACAGATGGATAACTGAATGTTTTGAGACGAATTCTTTTTAGAATATTCGAATTATTTTACTTTAAATCGTACATTTTTTTTCAATTTTAAAACACTAAATTTTAGAAACATTAAATAATACTTATATAAGTTTGGATTCAAACCTCGCTAAATCTTTAACTTTAAAATTCAATCCAAGTTATTACATAGTAAATTAAGTAACAAAGTAACTTAAGTTGGAAGTAACATATACGGTAATATTTCTGTTACGATAACAAGAAAATAAAGAACGTTTCCTCCTTACTTAAAAATACGAATAGAAAATAAAACACCAAAAAGCGAGAAAAGCTGAATTATTATACACCCACTACTTTAAAAACCTCTCCAAATTCGTAACCCTTTTTGGAGTAATGGCTAAGTGAATAATTGATATACGGGGAAGGGTTCGAAAATATATTGGCCACAAATGAATTCCCGAAGCCATAAACAAAAGATGCCAACCATAAATCCCAATTTAACCAAATAAAGTAAAGGAGGGAAATCTTCTTAAAACAAGAGTGTTGATTGCTTTTTCACTCGTAAACAAATAAATAAATCGGCTGTAAACTAAGATGAAGCTTTTCGGCGGGAAACAAACAGCAGACGATAACGAAATAAAAATTCTTTTTGCACTGTTGCCAGTTAGAAGATCTGAAGTGTGTGATGAACGAGCTACCCATGTGATTTCATCTGCCCAATCCATCATGACTGTAGACTGGCTCAGACGACTTCATTGAGTTATGGTAGTAATGAAGGCAGAGCTACTTGTCTTTTTTTATGTATAGATATATATCTAGGCTTAGCTAGAATGCAAGCATTGTTCTTTTTATCATTGTTTCAATCCATCTGAATTTGTCTTTTCTCTGTATTATTTTTTTCGATACTTCGAGCAGATCAATCTGCAGTTTTTGAACATCTTGAAGACTGAAGCTTCCGCTTTTCAATAAAAAGAGAAGGTGCAAATCAATTTTTACTTTTAAACAATAGGTTTATGAGACATTCTGAGAGAAATATTATTCTTTTTGACGCATTTTATGCTCGATTTTGGTTTTTATATTAGTTTATAGATTAAACTATAAAGAAAGTGTTTTTCGTTCAATTTTCTTATTTTGATATAAATTTAAGGATCCTTTAAAATAAGTTAAAACTCATAAAAAATGCAAAAATTACTCATTTTCTGTAAATTCGGCACAAATTTTTAAATTATGTCGAAATTACAATTGGCTATTATTCTGCACTCAATCAAAAGTAAATAAATGCTATGAATTTTTATTGCTAGCTCTATTTTTTTTTACCTACGATTAAATGTTTCAAAGACAATTTCAATACCTTAAGAAACTGTGAAGCGCTTTTCCTCTTTAATACGGTGCTTAGATTAAACATATTTAGCGAAAATTAACTATGTGATTTGAATAATCGTTAAATTTCAGTAAGATGTAGTTCAAATTAACCCCTACTTAAGACTCCTGTAAATTACATAATCATCTGTTTCAAGGTATTTATACTGATATTCTTGTATGAAATATATTTATTAAAAAAACTGAGCTTATAAATTGAATTATAATTTCAAATTTGCCCTGAGGAAATGATGTGGCTTTTCAACTTTACACAAAGTCCGAGACTATAGCTGATTCAGTTCTCCAATTCTTTATTCATGCTATATCTATCAATGTTAATCATAATACATGTATCAATATCAATCACGCTATATGCATCAATATCAATCACGCTATATGAATCAATATTAATCATGCTATGCGTATCAATATAATTAAAAATATCAATGCTTGATGACATTGTAATTTTAATTATTTACAATGAGGATATTTTTTACAGTAATATCACAAATAAGTAAATATTTTTCTTCTGATTTTAGATAATAGATAAACATTTATTATATTGTCAATCATTAAAGGCATATGGTTGAAGACCTCTGCAGCCATGGTCAGTAACAGCAAATACTGCTCCTGCTTCTGGAAAGTTTTTTCGAATCTCTTCCGTTTGAGCTGCAGTTGTAACATAAAGAATATCCAAGTTAGGTCCGCCGAAACAGCAGGAGGTCACATGTTTGGCTGGTATGTCAACTCTTTTTAAAATAGCCTCTAAAATTACATTAATAACGGGTTGATTATTAAAAATTTTAGAAACAATGCTGTTACAGGAAATAAGTGTTGTCAACATAAACTATTAGTTTATAAAGAAATAGTAATTGGTTTAAATTTTTACTCTTTGGATTTTTCTAAAATTTGACAATTTTCGATGTCTTCAAATGAATTTATTGTAAAATTCATTCCTTGTTGCGTATTTGTCAATTAAAGGCATTATGTTTATGACATTTTAATTTAAATAACAATTACACATGTCCCTTAAATGCTATCATTTTTTAAACTCTAAGAAACATAAGCTGACCGAAATACTTTTAAGATTATATCCCACATGTGACGCACCAAATTAATTAATATGCTTGTTACAAAAAAATTAAAAATGTGTGTTCCTGAAATATCTAAATACAAATTATCAATAAATTAAAATAATCTTATTCATATTCGTGCAGACACTTGCGAAAATTATAATTTCTAAATAATCCGGAATTTTATTAAAGATTGAAGATTAGTTTTTAACTTTAAGGAATATTGGTATGAAGATGCTTATATTTTGTGATATTAGAAATGTTCCTCCTGACAATTAGAGATGGCTGGTATCTTTTGGAACAGATATTTTGTATCGGTTATTGAATCATACCTGTTACATAAATAGCATGCTGCTTCCAAAAGCCTGTTCCAAAATACTAGGCAAAAAATATATATATATGATTCAATTATGCTGTCAAAAATTTATTTTTCTACTTTCTATAATGCTTAAACTGTCTTTAAGCCATGTTTGGACATCCCTAAATGTGAAAAAACGAAAAAGTCCGTTTTTTCGTGTAATTATTACAGAATCGTAGCCAGACAATCTGAAGGGTCCTACAAGTTTTTTACTTCTGAAGAGCCTGTAGGAAAGTAGATAACTTAGAAACTAGTTAGGTTTTTGTTTAAATAATTCTAATCATTAATGCAATTTTTTTCGAACTCCTAAAAATGAAAAAGGAAAACATTTTTCTTCCATTAAAATAATTTTTTAACCCAGTTTTAAATTTATTGTCTTCACGAGTCATCTGTTACAAAAAAGACTTTCCGTTCTACCGAATTTCATAAAAAAGCAGTTAATAAATTTTTTCCAAGACCCATTGTTTCGGAACAGGTATTTGTAACAAATATGATTTTGTATCATAACAGCTGTAACCTGTTACTTGAAAATACCTGTTACGATCCACGACTGCTGATAATTGCCTGAACAGAGAGGTATAAAAGGATAAAATTTGATAATAATAGGATCTCACAAAAGATGCATTGGCATTAAGAATTCAAAGCTAAGTTCAGATTTTGTTGCAAAAAATATGACATATTGTAATGTAAGTTTTATTTTTTTAAAAAAATACTCTGTTATATTATTTTAAAAATATCATATTACCTCTGCTTTAGATTCTACCTACGAAATTTAAAACTTTTTTTTTTTAATTCTATTTTTTATAACACCATTAGAAAGCAATATAACGAATAGCGATAATATAGCAAAATTGGAAGCGGGTATACTTTTAAGAATTGAATTCATCTTTAACGTAATTACTTGTTGCTGGATCAATCCGAAGAACGCATCCACCTCCGTAATGGCACACCCAAAGTTTATTTTCTGTATCTATTGTCATGCCATCAGGAAGATCAAGATCCTCAAAACCTTTTTCTTTGTTGTAATCAATTAATATTCTTCTATTACCTGCAAAAATTAAAGAAATTGATCATTATAGAAATAAATAAAGCTGTATATTGGATTTCTTGAATTGAATGTGAGGTTTAGTGAAGTGCAAGTTGAAAACCATTACCAAACCAAACAATTTAAATAAATTACTGCAAACATTACACAAAATTTGGAGTAAATTAAAATGAAATTGCTTTTATAATGACATAAAACAGTCTCCTAACTAAAATATAAACGCAAATAAAATCAGATAAAATGTTGCGAGTAGAACATATGGGGCTGGAAAAAAAATATATGTATGAACAGTGTAGAACCCCATTTTTTTTTCTCAGACTAAAAATGTGGGGACCATAAAGAAAACGATTTTATAAATGAATTCGGGGACAACTTTTCATAAGTTATATGATTCTCATTTTTTTTCTTAACTGTATGGGGATATATTTTCTCTAAAAAGTTATAAAATAGATTTCCCTGCTTTTCAAAAGAAATTATTTTTGTAATCTCTGAAACTTAATCATTTGTAAAATAATGTTCCAAATTGACTGAATGTGAGATTTAAAGGGCACAAAGTCCAATGAAGGAGATGCAGCAACAACAATAGGTCTTTTAAGTAGTCAAATTGTTAAGATTTATATATGCATGTTAGTAATATGCAATTATAACTTTAGCAATGCACATACGTGTTAGTAATACCTAAGTAATACACAATTAATAAAATTGTTGCAAAATTCAAAATTATATTGTACTTACTACGATCAACACAAAATTATGTAAACCTCATTTTCTTCTACCATGCACACGAAAACAATTTTCAGGAAGGAAAAAAACTACAAGCAGATCTATTACATTTACTAAAATTACGATAATTTAACAAAACAGCTGTATCAGAAAAACATATTTCCTAGAGAGAGGGGGGGGGGAATAATAGAAGCTAAAATAAATCAAAAGTAACATTATTATTAAAATTAATACATTGATAAAATTGATATATATTTAAGAGCTGCGATAACTCAGTGTATAGAGCGTTCGTCGCTTAATGAGGTGTCCCAAGTTCGAATCCTAGAGATGGCTGGTTGAGACGAATTCTGCTCCCGACGCACACCGACCGTAAAATATCCTCAATGGTAGACGGATCATGCGTTACAATCCTTTTGCCATCGTGCTAAACGTTGAAGGTTTTGGAAGTCTTCCACCCCATGTAACGCAAATGCGTGTTGTTCCATCAAGAATTCCATCACGAAGGCTAATTTGTCCAGTGCTTGATCCAGTAATACCTTTATGTTCTACGTTGGATACAAAATTGCTTGCTACAGAGATGAATATTGATAGTCGTTAACTCAGAATCGGGACGGTTGGTTTTAATATAAAATAAAATATGTTGATAGAAATCAAAGTTAATAACATTGAAGTTAGTACGAAATGAAGTTTGTAAGGGAGATTAATTGAACATGACGTACAGATTGGAAGAAAACAATTTTTCTGAATAACTTTTGATTTAATGATCAGATATACTAACTAATCAGCAACTTTACTTGAAACTTCCTTAGCTGTATGTATTTCATCACGCTTCATTTTCAACACCAGCCAGTATGTCTATGTGCATAATAAAGTATTTTCAAGTAAGTCTACATACGTTAAAGTTTTATATAAATAGTTACTTAAATTGTCTCATCATTCCATCCCCATTAAGAATCCATTTCTTAATACATAATTTTGTTGTTCCAATACCATTTCTATTATATAAAAACTTACTCGCAGTTCCTTCTTCCAAGTTATAATCATAGGCGTATATTGTTCGACAGTCTGAGTCTATGTAGTACATTGTATCGTTATTCGAAGTCCATGCCAGTCCATTAGAAATAGAAATTCCATCGAGAACTTGGGTCATTTTGTAGGTGTTGTCCATTTTAAACAGATGTCCTTTTCCATGCAATGTGCCAAGCAAATCATGGATCATCGTACCTAAAGATGTAAATTAAAAAGACATGGTATTTCAAATTGATTACTCAAATGAAGGAGAAAATTGATTACTGAAAAATTAATATAAGTAAAGAGTGGTAAAGTGTAATACACACTTTTTTCCAACCACATCTTTTTTTTCTATATTAGTACTTTACAAGATACCATTATTTTCACTAGATATTTAGATGATTTTTACTATACAATTCATTCAAATATTTCACCACATGTATATCCTGGTTAAATCAACTATTTAGTAAAAACTAGCACTTTTTCGTGTACTCAAAATTTATAATATATTGCATAGGTACATCAATATATGGAAAATAAACAAAATTATTTATGATTTTTATTTATTTCAATGATAGTTGTAAGTAGGATGAGGATGGGACATTCTTTACAAAAATATTTTTGTTAATTTTTTTTTTCATTTTAAATCTAACTCTTAGAGCAATATTTTGACATATTCCAATGTACAAAACATGTGTATTACACTTTCTGTAAAACTGTACGTAATCATTTATTTCTGGTGTTGGAAAGTAGCTATTTATAGTAGTTATGATAGTATCTTAGTCATATAAAAGCCTGTAACTAAAATGATTCCCTGGTATGTAGTGGTATGCTAAATATAATTTTTGGAAGAATCAAAACTTTAAAAACTATGCTTTATTATTCCTTGTTTTTTTTGGGGAGGGGGACTTCTCTCTTTTCTCTTAGATATGCATTCCCTTGAAAATTTTACAGTTCTAGATGAAAACTCATGATAGAAGTTTATATCTCACTTACACATTTTTACGCAACCTAATTTCTAATCATGCACTTGAATGTCAAGAACAATCAGAAGTTATAATTTTAACGAGTATTAATCGAATTATAAAATACGAATATTAATAGAACTTTACTGTTGTCAGGTTTGATACAAAAATATTTTACACATAGTTTGGTCTTTACAATATGTTTTCTTCTTTCAAAAATAATATACGTTTACATTCAAAACCGACGAAATGAAATAGTGGAGTTGCCTTTTTACATCGTTGTATATAAATTACGTTTTCAACTACTATTTTAATTAATCTTACTGAACTGAATTCAGGGAAGCGGCAGCCCAAAAAGTTTTCTTGATCTTGGAAATATGGGTATAGGAGACGTCCGGGTGGCTGGTTAGCAGAATGCCAAACCCCCAGTGTTTTTCGAGTCGCGATGGCTCAGGGGATAGAGCGTTCGGCTTCCAATGAGGCGAACCGGGTTCAAATCCCAGTCGATACGAATCCCGCATCCGGCTTGCACCAACCACAGTGCTGACGTGAAATATCTTCAGTGGTAGACGGATCATGAGTTACAGTCCCCTTGCCGTCAGGCTAACCGTGAGAGGTTCTCATGCTCTTCTTTCCATGTAACGCAAATACGGGTTGGCTCCTTCAAAAAGTCCTCCACGAAGGTAAATGTGTCTCAATACTCGATCCAGGAGTTCCCTTGTCTTCTGGATTGGGTTCAAAATTACAGGGCTACGGAATGGAACATTGGTAGTCGTAAACCCATAAAATTGAGTCTGCTGCTCAACGACGGTTATAAAAAATATATACAGTTAGTCAATAAAGTCTGCGTACAGACTGGTTATTAAATTAAAAAAGCACTTTAAACATCGAAGAAACATTTTAATCAGTTTGATTTTTTTTCCTGTAATAGCTACAATTGTAAGCCACAATAAAGAGCAAAAATTAAAGTGCAATATTTTAAAAACTTTTTCAAAAATAAATTTTTACGAAAAAAACACAGCAATACACTCCAATAAAGTCTGCGTACACTTAAGAAAAAAATGAAAAATAAAAGTTTTTAGCGTTATTTTAATTTTTTGCTGCGTACCCTTTATTNATAGAGCGTTCGCCTTTCAATGAGATGAACCGGGTTCGAATCCCAGTCAATGCCAATTCCGCATCCGGCTTGCACCAACCACAGTGCTGACGTGAAATATCCTCAGAGACAGGCGGATCATGAGTTAGAGTCTCCTTGCCGTCAGGCTAACCGTGGGAGGTTCTCGTGGTCTTCCTCTCCATGTAACGCAAATGCGGGTTAGTTCCATCAAGTCCTCCACGAAGGCAAATCTCTCCCAATACTTGTCTTCTGGATTGGATTCAAAATTATACGGCTACAGAGTTGAACATTAATAGTCGTAAACCGAAAGATTGGATCGGCTGTTCAACGACGGTTATAAAAAAATATATATATAAGAAGAAAAAATACAGCGTTTAGATGCATAATAAGCATGCGTAATAAGTACTCATTTAATCGACTCACTGAAGGAATGAAAAGCTGAGTCAATCTTACCTAAAAATAATAAATACAAATTTAAACGTATAAAAGTCAAATATTTTATACCCTAACCTGCCCAAAGTCTTCCTTTTGCATCACATTTTCCATCATTAAAACGAATTTTAGGATCCTCATAATCAACTTGAGTAAGTAGCTCACTGTGAAGAGTATTGAAATTCAATTTTTTTATATGTTGTTTGGAAGCAATAAGAAGAGTTGAAGGATCAGATTGAAAAGGGATGGCAAAACTAGTGAAATCACCTAGAAGAAAAATTTCATTAAATGAAGTATACTAATGAAATATGCAAGTTGTTTTTTAATTGCAGCTCTTTTCTTTTAATAATAAAGATGCTTTTTTGATTCACACATGAAAAATTGAAAAAGACTTCCAAACTGAGTATTTTTCTTCCATTTTTAAATTTATTGACATTCTCAAACTTTTTTTAAAAAATGATATTAATAACAAGTTATTATAAGGCATAGAACAAAACATTCTATTGCATTTCTAGACATCTTTTTAAGAAAGCATGTTTAAAATTGAAAAGGTTGGAAAATATGGTTCGTTTGATATTTTAATAAATTATTATGTTTTCAAAAACGTCCTGTTAAGCACTAGTCTCCAGCATTAATTATTTTCTTTAATTTCAGTCTTAAATAAAGGTCCTTTTATAAAGCCCTTACCTCTTTTATTTCCAAGTAAAAGTCTTATGAATGCAACAATTTTTTTATCTGCAGAACATTAATCAAGGTATTAGCTCTTCTGTTTTCATAAACTATGAAAATTTAATTTTTTTCATGAAATTTCAACTTGAAAGTAATATTTATACAGAGGCATGGAATGAACCAAAGTTTTCGTAATGTAGCTGAGCGTATTTGAATCCTGACTATTGAAACAGGGAATTCGTATACTGGATTGCAGCATGCTAAACTCCTGTGACAGATGTTAATCATGAGTCATTAACCATTGCACCCACAACTTGGTTTATAAATATTAATTTAGGTTTGTAAATAGTGATTTATATAATTGAGTTCATTAATAATTGAGTAAAGTTAATGTACGAAAACAATCCTATGACTAATGTCCCTTCAGATATCAAACACAAAAAAACCGCTTTTTTTTCTATTCTTCTTTTAAGAAGTCAAACTCTTATTTTTTAATATAATCGCCAATTATCATAATCAGTTTTGTAGATGCCGTTAAAGATTTTGTTAGGACCAGCTCGAAAATGCTGAGCATCAAATTTCTCTTTTCATTAGCGTTTCAGACAACAAAGCAACTAAGATAACACTGCAACAAGGATATTCTCCTATACTTTCATGACACGTGTCTGATAAGAAGTAGATAACGAAGTTCTTAAATGCATACCATAAATGAATTATTGGATAAAAACGAGTTACAAAAAAAAACGAACTCTTACTAGTATTAAAGTAAAATTTTTTCAGTTATATTTCTCTATATGTCATAAAACGGTAACTTAAGTCTTACAATATTATGTATTCCTATTGAAGAAAATTATGCAATCTTATGTTCCCCAATAAATAAAAAAAATGATTTAGATACATCTAACCATCATCATTATAAAATGAATAAAAATCATAATTTTTTAACACTGGAAAGACTGAAATACCTATGTTGCCCAAAAGCTGACAAAATGACTGCATTGTGAAAGAATAACTAATGTATAAAGAAATTTGCTCGAAATTAATTTTTAATATTTTTGATATTATTTTCAGTTATATTATAAGTTATTAGTAAATATCAACAATAAAAATAATTAGAAAAGTCACAAAATTCTAAGAAAAGTTATGTCATTATATGCATCATTGTTTATCTAATTGAAATTAAAAAGCAGTCAAAATGACTTCCTTGAGCAATCTAGTGTTAAAAAACCAGGAAGCTCTGTTTTGTTTGCTTCCTTTGACAATCCGCGTAGTTGCTTCTTATTTATCACTACAGTTTATTCTACGGTTTATTCTTTGGCTATTCTTTACAAAAACTAAGATTAGATTATCATCGGTTATATTTTTAGAATAACTAATATCTGATAAATCAATAACATGGAAAATAGGCCCCTTTTTCTCGAGAACTATTACTCAGTGAATTCGGGTCGGCCCATAACGAGGTCGTGTTGTTGAAAAACAGTTCCTGTCCATAAGCGTATTCGTTTTTTCTCAGAATAAGCTTTAATAGACAATAGTCGAAAAAAATTGAATTGTAAGGTATATATATACATATTATATCATATAGTTCCAGGGAAATTGAATTTCAAATATCTGCGAATTATTATTGTATATTTTAAAAATTTGTATTTTAGAATATGAAATTAGATTCGTTAAAATGATGTAAAAATTTGTCTACTTTACAATTCAAAATCTTTTCGACTGGTATTAAGTAAAATAATAAAAGTAATAAATAATTATTAAACAGACAGATAATTTTATAATTTGGTGCAAAAAATTTTTAGATCGCTTAAAGTGTTCGAGATTTAGGGAAATAAGAAAAAAGTAAAATTAACATTAAGGGGTCCGAACTTTGAACCACTCTCCTGCCAAAACTATTGATATCTTTTCCAGATTGCCGCCACTTCCTATGTTTTGGAGGTCAGGAATCATAATCCATCGGGGAAGAAAGGTATGTTTATTCAGAGAAATTTCAAATTTTTGTCTGATTTCGTAATTTAAAATATCGTTTGCATTAATTAATTAGCATAATTGAGGTTACCTCCTCGAACCCTTAAGGTTGGTACAGCAAAATCCGATTAGATGAAAAGTTATAAGGCAATTGCTTTTTCGGCAACCATTTAATTTATTTTCGTTTGTGCAATGTTTTTATTTTCCTTGCGGAAAAAAGCAATAAATCTGATTTAAATCCAGTGATGGAATTACCTATATCCAACTAAATATTAGTTTATTGCATTCAAAGAAAATTAAAAAAAAGCAATTTTAATGAATAAAACATAAGGAAAAAGACATTTACAGGTTTTTATATATCATCTTCAATGCACCATAGAGTTTGCTCACGAGCTATCATTCAAATAGCGATACTTGCGTAAATAAAACCCTTCATGTGTGCATAGGCGCATCCTGAAGGGGGGGGGCACATATACTTATACTTATATTTATTATATACTTATATTTATTTATAAATCTGAGTACACATAAAAAGTAAATATGCATATACACCGAAGAGCCATTACATTATGACCACCCTGCTAATAACATGTAGGACCACCTTTAGCCCTCAAAACTGCTAGCACCTGACAAAACTGCCATGAATGGGTGAACCTGGTTTGCAACTATGTTCAAGTAGCTTACAGACGTCAGGGATTGTTCTATGAGGATTATGGGCCCTAATGTGCCCCATGAAAGCATTGTTCCTGGGCGAGAAACCATGAAAACCTGGGCGAGTCCATTGTTATAGATGGAGGGTGGTCATAATGTAATGGCTCTTCGGTGTATATA